AATAGAAATTTCGATATATGACTTTAATAAATTTGTTGTTCATAGTGAGAACAGGTTAAATTTTGTACAAACAAGGATTTCGCGTGACACCTTTTCATTCACAATTTTTTTTTTCGATTCGTGTCACAGGTCACCCCACAAACCTTTTCACTTCAGGCCACAGACGCCTTTCAACACACCTGTGACACGTCTCCACCCAACACGTGTTCACGTCGTAAGCCTCATTTTCACTCAATTCCACTCTAATATCACTGAATAGCCTTTTTTTCTAAAGTCACGACGACCATTCGATTTAATAAATGGATACAACATCCGGCTTTTCAAAATACAAATAACGTCGAACTTACACCAACTTATCTCTTCACAATGTATTGGCAGACCATAACACATGACACAAGACATCGTCAAACAAGTAAAACCCACAAACAAAACAAAATTTCGTACACCAAACATATCACACACGCAACGCAACCAATGCCAAAAGTAAAAGATTCAATTATAAAAAACAAGATCTGAGCCGCACCAAAAATAAATAGGCGGACAGGAAACGTAGTTCCCCCACTCCATGACTCCAATTACGTGCAAATAGTGGGTGGATAAGTTTAGACCGGACCTCGCGTACCCGACACACCCCACTTCCGTATCTCTAATTACAATGAGAAGATCCCCTATTGAGGTCAACTGGGAACCTCGCTATGCCACCGATTTTTGATTCCAGTTCGAGTCTACATATCGATTTTTACCACCCAATTACACATCCACGAGACAACACATAGAACTAGCTCACACATTTCTTACACAACAGACTCCTATCATTTTTTCACAACACACACACAAAGACAAAAATTACACATAAAGGTTATATAGATTTCCATGTCTCCTGTACACACAGCATAAACGCACTTGAGGGCTAGAATCACGTTTTTCACCTAAGTGTCACTACAGATGAGACAAAAAAATTTATAGGGCATAATTGAGCAAGTAAAACATTTATAGGGCAAAATGGAGCAACCAATACATGTAGATCAGGGCATGTAGATACCAAAGGGTTCCAACCAATACACCTTATTTTTCATATCAATCATTTTCATTATTTTCTCTCAATTAAAATTTAAATATTTAATCAATTTATCAATTTATTCAACTTATTACCACTTTTAATCATTAATTATCATTTTTTTCCCAATTAGTTTATATTATCATTTTTATTTATCAATTATCATTCTATTTACCACTTAGCTTAAACTGCCACAACTCAATTATCAACGAAAACTCATTGGTTTTCGATTAAACTAAAAACATTAAATCACACTTTGTTGTTGAAACCTTTTTATTTTTCATTTTTCTTTTTTTCCAAACACTCGACTTTGATTTCGCTCAACCACTTTTATTTTTATTTGATTTCAAAATACCTTATGAAATTTTATTTTTATTTTTATTTTGATTTCTCACAAGCCCTAATAAAATTCCCTCGGTTTCCATTCCCAATCTCGAGCTAGAATAATGGTTAGGCATTTTTCCTTTCTTTTTTTTTTCACCACTCAACCAAGCACTCAACTTTGATTTCGCTCAAAAAACTTTTATTTTATTTTTATTTTTGATTTCTCAAAAGACCTAATAGAATTCCTTCGATTTCATTCCCAATCTCGAATAGAATATGGTTAGGCATTTTTCCTTTCTTTTTTTTTTTTTCACCATTCAACCAAGCACTCAACTTTGATTTCGCTCAAAAAACTTTTATTTTATTTTTATTTTTGATTTCTCAAAAGACCTAATAGAATTCCTTCGATTTCATTCCCAATCTCGAATAGAATATGGTTAGGCATTTTTCCTTTTTTTCTCACCATTCAACCAAGCACTCAACTTTGATTTCGCTCAAAAACCTTTTATTTTATTTTATTTTGATTTCAAAAGACCTTATGAAATTCCCTCGAATTCCTTTCCGAAATTCGAGCAAAAAAGTAACTAGGCATTTTCCCTTATTACCATGCAACAAAACAAATTTTCTTTTTCAACCAAACACATTCAATTTTGATTTCATTCAACTATTTTATATTATTTTATTTTGATTTCAAAAGCCTTAATAGAACTCCCTCGAATTCATTTCTTAACTCGAGTAGACTTCGTTTAGGCGCATTTTCCTTTTTTTTGCCCACTATGTACCATAACATTCATTGATTTCTTACAATTAAAAATTTTTGATTTCTATTAATTATACTCAACCTATATCATCAACACCATTCTATCTTACTTATGTCACCAGCAATGCTTGTATATAGCCCCTCCATACCCACAACTAATTTTCCCACAAAATTATTTTTCACTTTACAGAATTCTCTCAGGCTAACCCCTTCTTGAATTCTTCACATGTAGGGGGCGCATCTGTCATAATTTGTATATAATTAAATGCAACCCCGACCCACTATGTATGTACCATGTATGATTTTCAAAGATTTAATAAAAGAATAAGGTAACTGGAGGAAAGAAAGTAACAAAAGACATAGAAAGTAGATCTAGAGGAAAGCATATTTATTAATAACGACGCAGTTAACCTTCTGACCCCAGGTCCCTGCGAGCTAAGTTTAAACCGACACTTCCTGGAAAAACAGGACGTATCTAGTGACCAGAAGTTATAAATGTTAAAGCTAACACCCAATATTTCCGGCAAAGACAGGACGTATCTAATATCCGTCGAAGTTATAAGCGTCAAGCTACCCGACACTTCCTGTCAGGCAGACCATCTTTCATCAAGGAGAGCCGCGGGCCAATCAGAAGACAGCACCTTAAGTAGGTCAACCAATAGGAAAAGATCATGTGACATCTCTCGACCAATCAGAAGACAGCACCTTAAGTAGGTCAACCAATAGGAAAAGATCATGTGATATCTCTCGACCAATCAGAGAGAAACTGAGTCTTGGTGTTAAATCGAAAAGCAAGAATGGTCAGTTACGTTTTCGCTCTCATAGGAACAACACCTACAGTTGTTCAGTGGCTCTCGCCGAGTTCGGACAGTGGCTCCTTCGCTTCCAACAAGGTAACATCTACTCTAGAGATCTCTCTCTCTCCGCTCATTTCATCTAAATCCCATCATCGCCATGTGATCAACTAATTAATAAGTCAAATCGCTCAACTCTTCTCAAGCTTTCTTCCCTCCAACACAGTTGCCTTTTATTTTCAAACAATCACGTGTCCTGATTATCCCTAACTGTGTGCTTCACTTACCACTCAACGACTGCGCTTCAACCAATCCTCACCATTCAAATCGAACAACAAGAAATTCCGCAACGATATTGTCACAGAACGGTTAAGTCGACAGAATTCTACAACAGTGTAATACATCAAATATTATAGTGTAATAACAATTGCATCATATTACATATATATATATATATATATATATATATATATATATATATATATATATATATATATATATATATTTGCCAAAAATACATGAAACACCCAAAATTTACGTCTCATAATTTTAGATGCTGGTTCTCCTTTCTATCTTTCAGCAAAATATATCTAGTATATAATCTGGCAATTATAAAAATAATTATCTAACATCAGACACACACAGAATTAGAACACAGCTGAGAAATTAATATAAGAAACTTCGGTAAAATGTATGTATAATATAATCCCTCTATATATATATAGTATAGGTATGAAAATTTTAAGATTAATATTTTTTTTTATTTAATTTAAATGTGTGAGGTTTGTTTTTTTAATTAAATAAAAAAAAATTATTAATCTTAAAATTTTCATAACTATACTATTTGATACAGAATTAGCTTGCTGTTCTGACTTAAAATTAATTCAAAATCTGTAGTTCTTAATAGTTTACTTTTCCTCTATTTTCCAAATATAAAAAAAATTACTATTATTATAATATATATGAAAAAACATGTGCTCGGGGTCAAGAGATGCCTTCTTTATTTTTAATATATATATGTATATGTTTGAAAATAGAGCAATCCATATATTATATTATTTAAAAATGCTTATTTTGGATCATAAAGTTTTATTTCCGATATTTCGTGTGGCAACTCGCCAAACTTCGGGGAACAAGATAGCTCATGAATAGTTGTACATACTCGTGAATTGATACGCGAGCTATTCAAAACAATCTTGTTCCCCGAAGAAGTTTGGCGAGTTGCCACACGAAATATCGGAAATAAAACTTTATGATCCAAAATAAGCATTTTTAAATAATATATGTATATATATGTTCGTCTCAATAAGTAACTAACCTGGCTGAAATTTTAACAGGACATGGTATTGAATCTGGAAGAGTTATTCAGTCGCATTTTTAAATAATAGAAATTGAAATTAAACAAGTACTGGGCGAGAATAATTATTTTCATTCAGAAAATGAATATGTCATTATGGTTGTATCATGTTTGATTGTCAGAACCAAATAATGTCGGGTAATATTCCTAAAAGAAGAACACAAGCGAAGCCAGACCACATATTTAGCAAGCAGGAACTGCTTTCCAGGGGGGAAATATTCACTCGAGCAAAATAGAGGTTCCTCTCTCTATATAAAATATTGCTTCACGGCCTTTTGACTAATATCACAGTGTAGTTATCTTATATCTCAATATAGATACAACTGAATCGATTATATATATTTATAAAAAAAATCAATACAGTAGAAAAAGGATATTTGCTTGAAAAATATTTTTAATAAAATATTCGTTATGAAACCTTTCACACGGGTAAAACCTGAGCGAAGCCGGGTACATCTGCTAGTACTTAAAATATCCTTATATATATAAAAATGAAATGCGAAATCGATGTTTGTTATCGCATCACGCAAAATCTACTGACTCAATCATTATGGAATTTCGCATGTAGGTAGCTGAAGATTTCGTTTAACATATAGGCTATTCAAAAAACTAAAAAAGTTAATGTGCTTTTTTTAAAAAATAAAAAACCAAAAAGCGTTAGTTCCAGTCTTTTACCGCTAGGGCGCAGCACTGGTCGCGACCATAAAAGCATAGGTGGTTCAGTGGTAGAATGCTCGCCTGCCACGCGGGCGGCCAGGGTTCGATTCCCGGCCGATGCATTTTTTTTTTTAACAATTTTTAAAACTCATTTATATTATATATTCTATATAAATGGAAATTTCATAAGTGGTGTTCGCTAAAAACTTTCGTTACAATGCATCAATTTCGACCAAATTTTCAACATTTATGTAAAACGAGATGGAGCAGGTTTTGCTTAACACCAAAATATTTTTCCTAACTTTAAAATACATAACTTTGCTGTTATCGATAAAATACAAAAAAATTCAACAGAGTTAATTTTATTTATATATAAATACAAAAAAAAATTCAGCAATTCATTCAACTCAATCTAAAAAAATATTCAAAACAAGCAATTTTAAGATAACACCATATGTAAAACAGTCGGCGAAGAAAACAACAACGATATTACATCTTTCTCACATATTCACACACAATCTTGATTAATAATTAAAACTAATCTTTAGCATTGTTTATTATACTTCATAATATATAATATTCGTTAGGCAAACTTTCACTCGGATAAAACCCGGGCGAAGCCGGGTTCACATCCGCTAGTTTATTTAAATAAAACTTTAAACGAATAAAAAAATGTAATCAAATTTTAAATAACATTTTTGTTGTTTAAAATTAGAATTTTTTAATCTTTATTCTGAAAGGGCCTAAAATATTATCATGTTAATTTATACGATTATGAAATATCAAGTTTTATTTTAAAAACTATTTATTTTTTCCTATTTCTTCTATGTTTCTTACCTGATTGTGTAAGGACAAAATTAGAACAAAAATGGTGCATTGGTTAAGTAAAAAATTTAAGTTCTCAAATAAAGGTTAGAAAGGCTCCAATTATCAGAAATTAGAAATATTGATGAACAAATTATATAATTTACTCCTTTTTTAAACAAAAATCGTAGACAATGTAATTCGTGTTCGCATCGTTATTTTATTCACCTCATTAGTTTTATTTTATCTTCTATGTAGGAAGCCAGGCCGGATCAAGCGGGCTTGCAAGAGAGTCCTCAGATTCCTCTGTTGCTGTGTGCGTCCTGTGGAGGAGGAAGAGTAAGTTATAAAATATCAAATTGATTATCATACAATTTCAAGTAGCTTCTTTAGGAATCAAACAAGGGATTTTCTATTCAATTTTCATATATTTAAAGACAACGATATTTCTAATCATCATATTTATAGCCTTCAGGGGGTATCTCAAACAAAATTCAAAAAATGCAAGATTAATAAATATTTAAATATAATAAAAATTATACATGTATATGTCAATTCAATATATCCTTCCAGAATTTAAATTTTAAAAAAATATCGGAGCGACTTTGAAGAGAATAAATATTGAAAAAACAAACTGGACTCGCTTATTACTCGTGGTTTCCAGTTCGAACCCTTAATTGTGTCGTTTCTTTCATTTCCCTTCCACTCTCTCGTATTGGCACACGCATATATATTTCAGTTAAAATAAAAATAATTCAACAGGTTTCTGGAGTAGAGTTTTTTTTTTCAATTTTATTAACGCCATCTCTAAACTCATCTACAGAAACCTCTTACATTATTTTAATTTGTATCTAGGAATTCTAATATATATATGTCATAATATATGCTCTTCCAGGATTAATAAAACAAACCAACAGCCAACGAGAGAGAGATGGGCAGCTAAAGCGAGACACTTTAGACAACTAACTTACGACCATTTTTGGCCACATTCCTGAGGGGGCCGCCCGTCACCACCTGGCGACTATTCTGGTTAGCCCCCTGGTTGTGTACACAGGGAAAACAGTCGTTAAGCGGACAGCGCTCTCACTACCTCTTTCTCTCTCGGATGGCTTCCAGATTCCTCTTCCAACTCGTCGTGTGATTATTTCTCTCCTCACCACATTTACCACTATATTGTCACATATATTTTTTTTTTTAAATTAAAAAGGCATATATTGGATCAAAATATCATTTATTTGACCAATATTTCAGTTGGCTGAACGCCAACCTTTATCAAGGTGTTATATCATATTTTGTCAACAACAATATACGTATATATATATATGCGCATATGAAAATATAATTTAAAAATATATTATCACAGGTTAGAGATCAAATTACAGGAAGGCATAATGTAAAAATATCCTTCTAACTCCTACAATTGTAGCACAGTTCCTAGTATTCCATCGCGTTTCTAGTGATTTGTTTTCTTTCAATGATTCGCCTCATTAATATCATGAAGCCGATGTCAGGTATTGATAATTGTCGTTAAGTTTTTGAAGTTCTCTGATAGTTCAATTTTTGAAGGTTCTTTGGTTTAAAAAAAATCAAAAAATAAATGATAAACATTATAGTATTTAAATTTATATATAAATATTGTAACATTTGATGTAATCAAGGCGATGAGAGATAGAGATGATTATATATAATAATTAATATAAATATATATTGGGAGTATGAATAAGTTCGTGCGGTTTTTTTTCGAAACTTGGAGCTCTATTGTGAAAATTAGGTTAGACCTTCAATGTTCAAAGTATTGTCCGTCGCTAGCCACTACCTTTTACTATCGATTGAAAAAACCCTGTACGATGCCTTTTATTACCTTTTACTATATTTCTGGCAATTGATGTATCCCATCATGGAAAAAGGCCGGCTCTTTGGGCTCTTTTTGACTTCTACGTATTTGGAGAAGTGCTGGTCAGCAAGGTCATGTTGCATTGATCCGAAGAGATAATAATCGGAAAGAGCAATGTCTGGGCTATACGGCGAGTGGGGTAAAACTTTGAATTTGAGTGGTAATAAGTACGTTTTAACGGGTTCTGCAGCATGTGGCCGAGCATTATCATGTTACAAAATAATATTTTCGTGGCTAATGGCCATTTTCGCCATGCTCGGCTCAATGGCATCAATTGCCTTCAGTAGACCTCTCCTTTTTTTCGGTTTTAGTAGCTCATAAAATACCACTCCTAGATGGTCCCACCACAAATACACAGCATATTTTCACGCCATGAATATTCGGCATAGCCATCGATAATGAGGCACGGCTAGGGTATCCACACTTTGCCCGACGTTTTGGATAATCGTAATGGACCCACTTCTCATCATCAGCTAAAATTCGATTCAAAAACCCCTTTCTTTTTTACGTTGGTGCAGTTTTTCACACGTGAAAACGGGGTTCGACCACCCAATTTCCGACATTTCGGAACTGGTTGAGTGACTCCAAGTGTTTTTGCCAGTTCCTTTTGCGTTTGTGTTGGAACTTTATCGATCCTTGCCTCTAATTATTCACCCTCAAACTAGGTGGCGCTCCGGGTCTTTCTTGTCTTCCAAAATCAAAATTTCAACTTCAAACCGTGCAAACCATTTCTGACACGTTTGTTTAGCTAGAGCATGGTCATCCTGAACTATTATGACTCTCAGCAGCCTTTTTCTTCATTTTGAAGTAATGAAATAAAACTCCTTGCAAAAACACATTATTTGGTACCAAAGTTGACATTTTAGGAGCAAACAGAAACTAGGTTGTTCATACTTCAGAGAAATGACGGTTACTGTAAAAGGAAGCCTTATGATGACGCTTAAAATAATGGTGTTGCCAGATAGTAGCGCCATCTTTATCAAAACCGCATGAACTTATTTATACTCCTAATATAATATTATTTTTGATTTTAGTAATGAATAACTATTATAAATACTTTGTATTATTTATTTTACTCTATCAAACATAATATAGTTAAATAAATATATATTTGCACAAAAGGCACATTCTCTTTTAATAAATTTCATCAAAATCTATAATAAATGCATATAAACAATGTCATCAATTGTCGATTGATTTTCTGCAGCGCTTCAAGTTTCTGATTTTTAATTTTAAAAATACATCAATATATATTGGCATATTTCGACAATTTTGGTATATATGGTTATATATTTATTCCAAGGTTTAGGGGTATAGTTCTTATCAGATTATCTTATTCGTCCAATTTATCCAGTACTGATGTTGTAGATAATTATCAGTTGAGAATATTGAAGAAATGCGTGGCGATCATGCATTATCAGCTATATATGCTTTTATGCGCAGAATTCTTCACCTCTTTTTGCTATAAAACATATGTTATGAAATATATAGATTGATAAATTAGAAATTTATTAAGAATAAAAAGCCTATTTCGGATCAATCGCTCTTTTATGGTATCTCCTCTAAGTTATCCTAGAAAGTTGGGTTCGAACCAAAATAAAAATTGTGTAAGCACCGAAGAATTTATTCGCCAAATTTATACATACGATTCAAATATACTCGTTATGAATATGTCAAATATATTTTTCGTTAAGAAGCAATAGTTATTTTATGTGGAAATATACATTTATTTTTACTTTGCTCCTTCAAAAAAAAAAAAAAAAAACTGCGTCATCCTATAAGTCAATGGAGAAAAGGACTCATCAAGAAAGTTAGCGATTGGCCTGATCGAAATATTTGAGGATTCCAATGAAGAATAACTGATCTAAAATAAGCGCTCATATCCTTATATCTATATGATAATTTTATATTATATCTATAATAATAAAAACTATGTTTGTGCTTGCTGTGTGGCAGATAAAGGAGTTCTTCAACTGTAAATAGTGTAAATAAATCATTTGTAAATATTGTAAATAGATCATTTGTAAATATTGTAAATAGATCATTTGTAAATATTGTAAATAGATCTTATAATACTTGATTAGATAAAATAATATTTTAATTTTTGTCCTCTTTTATTTCTCAAACCCAACTTAATATAATACTCAAATTTGTAAAACATATAATAAACTTCCCTCTTTTATAAGTTAAATTAGTTATTAACAACACAATAAAGACTCAAGAAACAAATGAAAAGAAGCTACGCACCAGGATAATTAGTAGCAGTTTGGACACCAATTAGGAAAATAGGAAAGTGTGAGAAACTTCTGAGAAAATATTTTGGTCCATATAGAATATTAAAAAAAAAATGTCTAGCGTCAATTATCTAATAGAACCGAAAGATAATCTTGGCCAAGACCCTCTGATAGTTCATGTTTCAAGAAT